GCTGTGAATAATATCAAATAAAGTAACTACATACACAGCTGTAACCATAGAGGACACAAATATGTTGCTTTTCGTATAATTTATATGCCGAAATTCTACCGCCAGAGACACCTATTGTTCTCCTGCGGTTAACTATTTTGTTTCAGCTCATGGGACTTTGATAGATGGCTCTCTTCGTATAATTAAGTTAGAGTTACTGAATTGAAAGAGTATCTTTCTCGGTTTCAAAAATTCATACCTATGTACGAATATGTTTTCTGCCACGAAAATTGTATAATTCCAAATATTTCGAATTTTCACCACCAAAAACGGTGGTGACAACATTTTTAACAGTAAGGCAATGTTTCGCATTGTATTAGCTATGACCTGTCCAAATTTGGTTAGTGCATCTCTCTCGATTTCGAAAATTCAATATCTATATTCTATGTGATCGTATTCAGCCACGAAAATTGAGTAATTCCAAATACATATTTCGAATTTTCACCATCAATATTTTTAACAAAGTAAGTTATAATTTTCTCTACACCAAATAAGTATAGGTTTGGGGTAAAATTTAATTGCTCTAAGGGACTGCACTTCAGGATGCCTTCAGAAAAAAAGAAAGATGTAATATGATATAATGGCAATGCTGTTTACATAATTTCCTCTAATTGATGAAAGCTGATACATAAAGTTTTAAAAATAACTTCGAAACTTGATTCAATCTACCAGTATTAAAACTTGCGGAAAATTCGAAACATGCTTCAGTTTCCTGCTTATAGTGCAACTGACTATAAACTCCTGAAACTAATTATGAAGTCCTAAACAGCACTAGAGGCTACGAATTCTCTTTTTGTTAAATATTGACTATGTGCCAATTATCCTAAAGGAAAAGTGTGGCGTAGTACTTCATTACAAAAAAGTTTAACAAGTTATATATGTTACGATATTGAAGAAGAGACAATTTTAATAAACGAGTCTGTTTTATTCTACCATGAAATGGAACAGAACAAAGTACTCATATAGTGCCAAATATTTGATTTATTCTTTTCTCAGCGTTTATGTAACTAAGAAACTTGTTACGCGTATACAGAGTGTTTTCAAAAAAGGTTTCATAAGTCCAGAAACTGATAGAACATAAAAAATACATTTTTATTAAACAATATACTAATATAAATTGCTTTTCGCAAATTATTATTTGATAGTTGATATTTCTTTTTCAATAATGTGATATTTGCATTACAATATATGCATGGTGCATGCAGGTGATGTAAACTCCATTTGTTTGTTCGAAACTTGCGCAAAAAATGGAAATATTCTTCCACCACGAATTTGTAGATAATAAAATTGGGAAGTTCGGTGAAAAATACAGCCTCAATTAATTTTACGTTGCACGAAACATATTTTCATTATGTGGTTTATAAATGCATTATTTAACTTATGCCTATGCTACACCAGACACGCCGATTTAAAATTGATTTTGCGGTTGTAGCAAATTAAAACCAACTGTAATCGATAAATACATTCCATGTTACACGTGAATCCTAGCGCGGCAGTAAAAACAATTAAAACTATAAATATTAGGTACTGTTAATTAATCGAAAAATGTTATACAAATGCACGCCTCATTTATTATGTACCGGCACGACTGTGCGGTTTGAAGCCTTTTGTTAAAAACGATCTTCGGAGATAAAGCTCAAAATAAGGGATTTGATTTACATATAAAAGGGTTGGTTTACCGTTTTGATTTTATCTTTGTTAAAGTATGTGAACGCGTATATTTGAATTTCTACTTTATCGCTGAATGCATTAATATTTTCTGGAAATGCATGGAAGCCCTCCATTAATGTTTCTCTTTCAAGTGGAGTGTAATCATATCTGTCTCTCAATAACAGTTTTTAAATTCTTTCGTCGAACAAGGACAAAACTTTATGTGGGAAACTCATTAGGGGAGGATAACAGATGGAACCTCATTCATCCTGGATCTATACATAAAATGATTTTAATACCACAAATTGTATTATACATTTCTAAAGTTTTTGAGAGGTTCAACCACTACACATTGTTAAAAAAAACTTAAAAACGTAGGGCCTTGCAGTGGATTAGTTGAATTATTTCGTTGATACTCCCAATATATATGCAATGTTGTGGATTTAAATCTAATATTTCAATCATTAGGAATTCCTCAAGGGTCCATACTTGGACCTCTTCTGTTTGTTATTTTTATCAATGATATGTCGAAAGACCTAAATATACAATAACTATGGTACGCTGACGATGTAAATGATATTCTAAGTTGAAACGTTAAACGAATAAATAGCTAGACATGAGAAAATGAAGGATAAAAAGTTTGATTAATAAAAAGGTAAAATCGTTAGATGAACACATCAATCTGTCAAAATAAACTAAATAATGTAAAATTTTGAATTAAATAGGCTATAAAAGGCAACAAGACAGTAATAAAATACAACAAAGTACAATTTTGTAGTCATGTATCATATAGGAGCATTGGTATGAGGAAATTTGAAAAAAAATTAGATTTTGACAGATAGATTGACGGAGAGAGAAGGAGTTACACTTATAAATAAAATTCATGCAATAAACTAAGGCTATAATTAAAGTTTATCATACCTTTAGTCTATATTTATAAGTGGAATCAAAATTAAAGTTCTTTGTATAACTTCATATAGCGATTTTCGGAATATCAAAACGATGATTCAATATTGTGTGAAATTTGTTCTGTAAAAAGTATTTATAAGATGTAAAATGATTTGTGTTGTGTTAAAAAAACCTTCTAGTCATATAAAACTAAATTCCAGTTTACGTTCCAAGTAGTGCATAAACATTATTAGTTGTCAAAAAATGGTGGACCTGAAATCATTTCAGTTATTAGTTAATTCAAACAGAAAAAGACTGTTCAGAATAGTGAAAATAATGATATATCAATGTCGTGGAACAGTAATATAAACATAGTATTAAGCTAAATAGCGCAGTTTGGTTAAATTTTGCAAAAATTTGAAAAATTTGTAAAATGTTTGAAAATGAACGCAGAAGAAAGATATTGGTATTGAAACTTACAGAAAATTATGTAGAATCTGAATATGTAATTGTCATGATGCAAAAACATTCATAAAGACAATTTCCAATTAAAAAAATTCATAAAACGTCAATATAATGTATCCATAGCAACAGGTACTTTTGTCTTCAGTTTATAAAAACTAGAACAGGGCCCGTAGCAGTCAGTCTTTCATAATTTGCCAAGTTATAAACTACGTTTAGTTACTCCTAAAATAAACAAAAGCAAGTCAAAATTAAGTAAATAAATGGTGAACTTAGTTACCAGTTTTGAAACATCAAACGACATTCAGAAGTAATCTGCCATCTGTCAAAAGTGTAATTTTCTATCAGTTAAAATTTTTCTAACTAACCAAATACCTACTGGAAACTTATATAATGGGAACAAATGTTATTTAACCAAAAATGCAAAGTATAAATTGTCAAATAAAAATTAATGAAGAGCAGTGAGAAAATACAACGGCGGGTGCAAACCCTATTTACCAATGGAAAATCAAGCACAGTTTTACGACCTAGAGCACCTGAAATCCAACATCGACCATCAGGAGCATCACGTCACCTGAAAGGCAACTCCGAAACCAGCAATACATAAAAGCGTTACTTTTAAAAATTGGCCAATTTAAAAATCTCACTGTACGAGTTCGTAAATAACAATCAAACTGATAACTTAAAGGTAATTTTTTTTAAACATACCAAAGTAGACTATAATCTCTAAATTTTCACCTTCTAGAGCAAAAGTAGAATAACTAGTAGATTTAATGCAGTATTTAAGAAAATAAAATTTGTTAAGTTGTCCAAATATTTGAATATGCAATAGCTTAGTGCGAATTTTCATTTTCTAAACAAATCTCATACTTCAAAGTATATCAACATAGTGAAACACACCCCGAGGAAGTATCAGCTCTAAACCAAGTTACTGTACAAGACAAGTCTTGTTGGCGTCCAGGCAAAACTAAAATTAAAGTACAGCAAAATTAAAATTTAAATTCAATACATTCAATAAATGAAATAAATAAAAAAATTAAATTATATAAACAAAAAATTATAATTGAAACAAAAATCATAACAATATGTTGTCACATAAACTCTGTTTTGGACTGTGAAAATTCTCAAAGTTATATTACCTCACTTAAAATTGAATCTAAGGAGGTCATATTCCAGAATTACCTTACTTTGCATCATAAAAGAGCCGTTTAGCACATTCGCGGACGCCTGGTGCATTAAAAAAGTGCAAGAATAAATTTACAAGCTTTATCGGGTTAGTTAAATTAGATTTACGCCAAAAGTAGGTATGGTGATTAGATTTGACGGAACAAAACTGTAAATTGAGTATCGGGTCTCATCGAACTCCAAAACTACTCTTCTATTAGGTAATAGTAATATACCTCGACGAGACCGGTATTCTAGGTGGCATCCTCGTGAAGTTTGCACACATTGTTTTACATGTAACGTCTACAATAAAGCAATAGCGACTCAACCATGCAGCGACGTATAGAATACTGATATCCAGCATCCCAGTTTCCGGGCAATCACAGCTCGACTGCTTGCAGATACATGCCTGAGAAGCAAAAAAGTTTTTAAGGATGTCTAGAGAACGGGATAATGCACAATTTTCTACTAGCAGATATGGGTATTTCTTAAAAGTTTGCAGTTATTTTTAACCTCTTAACCGATATTTAAAACACTGAATGGAAAGCTGATCTTTTGAGCTTTTATCATTGGCGAAATCCTTAAAAATACTTCCAAATATTATCAGTCGTATTTTTAAGCATTTTAAAAATAAAGACCCAATTAAGTGTATCATTCTGTATCACGTGTAAAACAAACTGTTCGGGAGATACAGCTGCATGTAAATATTTACCCTGATCCCTGTCGTTCTCCCCAAAATATTGCTGGCAGGACAGTGACAGTATGATTTAGTTAATACAAGTCAAACATTATTTCAGATCCTCCTGAAATATCCGTGGAACGACCAGTGGTACATTCGGCCGAAGGATTTGAGGCTCAACTGGTGTGTATCGTCCATGGTGAAAGTCAACCTGAGGTGAGTTGGTTTATCATTTTTTGTTATTAATAAAGTAATAATGTCATGTACATACGTTTCGATATACTCGGCAGGTGCGTCTGCGTAACTACGCCTGCTACAGGTTTAAAGTACGTTTAAAAAATTTGTTGTAATAACTGACCTGCGTCGACCCGAGTTCAGTTACCGCCCATTATAAAATTCAATTGTCAAGAGATTTTACAGCAAATGAGTTTACTGTCGAGATAGTGACCGTAATAATCTTTCTGAGATCCAATTGGCAAATAAAACGTTGTGGATGGGATAATAAATATATGAGATTCTTGAAAAAATAGTCACTTCATACGTTCGTGTAAACCAAGAAAAAGGAAAAAAATGTTTGCTTATAATCACGAAAGAAATTAAATCAAATTTTGACTATTTGAGAATAACCAGTACAAGAAAATTATGAAAAGTTTATCATAAATTAGCGGAACATGTATAAAAAAATATTTAGAATGAAAGTAGACACATAAGTACAAACTTAAAAATAAAAATAAAACAAAATATCTCAAAACAGCATTGAAATACAAAATAATAATAATTTCAGGACCTATCACCATACATTTCAGTATACATATCCGTAAAAAGCCCTCGAATTGGCTTTAGAATTCTTTAAAAAGCACCAATACTTCTATAAAATATGTCGAAATACAACGAAAAGTTTAAAAAATAAAATGAACTGAAATAATTTTAGAATACAAGATACAGAATTAGAATACACGATACATCATTTTGAATTCGGATATGTTTAAAAGAAATTAACAAAAAAAATCGATTGTTCACACCTCGATATCTTACAAATCCATTATTAAACAAAAAGGAATCCTAATATCATTTTACAAAATTCTATCAATTCACAAAGTTTATTTAATTTCCCATTTATAAAGTGAAGCGCCTCATAAAAATCAGGTGGGTAATAAAATTAATAAACTTACCTTTCGCTGCTATCAATGTTTCGTATATAAACCCCGAAAAATATATCGAAATACAATTACACCACCTCGGGGGTTGCTATGAGATACTCTGTCACTATGTAATTAATCTTTTTCCTTTCCTCTTCAAAAGTTTTTTGTGCTCTTACTACGGATATTATATTTCATTTAATGTGATGAGGATCAAACGTGTTGCTCGAATCTTTCTGCTAATGGTTTTTGTCCCGCCGTTGTCCAAATATTTTTTGTAAATCAAAGTGCTTTTTACTGTAACTCACGCCAAATAAATTTTTGTTTCAGATATTTAAGCTCTTGCTAATTAATTATTAAACGTTGCTTTCAATAATTTTCTCACACAATTATAACTAGTCACAGTATATAGATATAATTTTAACATTTGTCAGGACTCTTTCATAGTTCTGAATTGATAAAAAAATAAGGTGGTGCTATGTGCTACTATTTGTAGTAACTTACTTTTTGGATTTATAAGGATATTCCACAATCTGATAACAATAAGAGTACGCATAGGTATTTGCAGAATTTTAAATTATTAGCTTTTAAGGGCGCCTTTTTGTATCATATTATTATGTATACATTTCTTTTGTCAATCTGACAAATCATGAGTGGGTTACTTCTGATCCTCCAAATCTTATCTGCGTTCCGAAGTTTCAGACAACGTGAGGTGAGATAATATAAAAATATTAGGTCTTACATAAACATCCTGTATTATACTAAAAACTATTTCATACAGCTGTAGGCACTAAAAAGTTTTCACCTTAAACAGTTAGACTCTATACAAAACAGGGTATTATTAATTTCAATCTTTAAACTCCTTTATACATTTTAGGTCCTGAAACCTTTGTTTATCTCTAAATTAAAAACTTTATTAATTTTAAAGATGAGCGGATGTACCAAAATCCTCCGAAAGAGAAATATAAAAGATAGCACTTGCAGTACCACAACCTTTTACTTTTCACTAAAGCGAGTACGTTACAGAAGTTCAGTCTGAGAACTTTTTGATGCATATTCCTAAAAGCCTCTCTATGCATACGACCAGTAAAATATGCATCTCTACCCTGCAAATGTTTAGCTTTCATGTTTATAGCATCCTCTTCCATTAATTTTAATTAAAAATATTGTTTTGTGCGAACTAATCTCCAATGTAATCCCAAAGATACGTTGCTGTATCCATAAAAATTGATTTAGTTAATGCGTGAAATAGTTTCACAATCCGCTTGGCATAAAACGAAAATGTATGCCCTCTGTTCGTGTTCAGCATTAAAATGTTTCGCAAGAAACAGCCACGTATTAGCCCACAATTTTTACACGAAGAAGTTAACTATTTTTACTTGAGCAAAGTAGGTAAATTAGTTGTAAAATCATGACACTGAATTTTGATGACAAGAAAGGTAATATTCGAAGTAGAAAGAGAAGAATGTGGTCACACTGAGAAAAATATGCAAAAACATCAACTGTACCTGCACTTCAAGAATGATAACATCATGTTATATATACCGAACTTCTTAGTCTCAAATTTAATTCTATTAGTTAAAATACCATTTTATTCTAATATTCACTCTCACTAACAAGAAATTTTAACATTTCATAAAATTTTATATGCGCCCATAAACGCTTCAATCGTTCCGCTGCATTTTTATTCCATTTCAGGGATGCTTAAAGTTGTAAAAGTTTAATAAAACGAGCTATTGGAGCAGATCAGATGAGACTTTGTAGTTAATACGTAGGTACGTTGATTATCTTTTATCCTTTTTATCTAGGTAAAATTTCGATTAGATTGCTCCACTGTCGCAGATATTAATTTTAGTGCAGATTTTTTGTAATATTGAATATATTTCTTTCAACAATATTTTCATTAGGTATCTTTTGCACTGAATTTAAAAAAAATGCACAACACATATTTTTATACGACTTCTATTCAACAAGAAGCACACTAGTTCCATAAATCAAAGTTATAGTTTTGATTGGAAAGTGTAAAGTAAACAAAAAAATACTTTATTGGCGTAAACGTTTTTGAGAAGTGTCTAAATTAAAAATTTGAAATATTTTAATGAAAACAATTTAACATATTTTCATGTAGGTATTCAAACTGAGACTGAACAAATTCTTTTCATTAAAAAAAACTTTGAAATATTCATGTACAGAGAAATATGATAAAAGAAAATAATGTTCCCACTTCATCTTTTATACGTCCAAAATAATACATTATAAACTAATTTTTAAATAATTTATAAGCACACAAACACGTGGTAAAAGTATTAAAAACTCAATTTTACCTGTCGGGGGTATAACTTGATCAGCTCATTCATATTTAAATGAGGCCAGAAACAACAGGGAAAAGCCTTTTGTAAACATTATGAAACAATTTCATTTTGGGAAATCATAATATTTAGTACGAAAATGTTTTTGCTGAATCAATTGATTTAATGTTAAAACCTGTTCATATTTTTATCTTATATATAAAAGTATAAAACATTCAATAGAAAGTCTGTTTTATTTTTCAAATTCTGAATTTACAGAAAGTTTTGAATATTATTTGCTGTATGTTTTATGTAAAAAAGAGTTGCAACTACATTTTTTCCGAATAAAAATTGATATAGTATTGTCCAAAAGTGATCAATCTCTTAGTATATTTACACTGCTTACGAATTCAAACAAAATAATTCAATGGAATTAAATTGGGCGAATGACGTGGTCAACCTATTGGTCTATAGAAGGATCATCTTTTCATTAGTCTATAATTCTCTTCCAACCACCGAATAATTTGTTGACAAAAATGCAATGGATTTCCATCTCCATCATCACCAGGGAAAAAAACGAGCCTGCTCGTAAACAGTGCATTATCCCAAAATATTGGTAGAATTTGGACAGTAGTTTTTATATTGACGAAACTAGAATAGTTAGAAGTCTAATCAAAGACCTCGTTCAAATTCGTTTATCTTGAAATATAACAAAAGATATCAATTTTAACGCTCTCTATCTCGAAAACTAAGCATTCATAATTTCATAATTTGATTTGAATTCATCTTGTATATTACAGATTGAAATTGGCGAAATATGTTTATCCTAAAAAATGAATTATTTGAGGAACTTAACTTTTCAAATTTGTGAAAATAATTATTTAAGTTTGTTGCTATACAGAAAGAAGTACCTGAACAAGATCTAAATACATATTTTTAAATAATCTACAAATAAATACAAACAATTTTTTTCCATTTAGAGACAACAGAAGTAGCGAGATGAACAAAACAAACTATATTGACACACAAAATGTTATATTTTGAATTTCATTTTCTTACTTTCAAATGCTCAAATAATAATGCATTGGTGTTTTGCAGATAAAATAGTTACAGAATTTTTAGTCGCTGTGACAGTCAAAAGTTTCTTTATTTTAAGGAGACCAAATGCATTCATAATTGAAACAAAGAACAAAAATGAAAGAAAATCATTTTAAGAAAAACAGTAGAATGGTGAAATTTGGACAAATCATTCAGCTAAGCAAAGGCCTAAATTCACTGAATTTATCTCCAACTATGTCAACCAATAGCAGAAATATCGGGAGATATTTCCACCAAAAACTGCAGAAGTTCGAAGCTTCTTAGTATTTTGATAATTTGTTACAAACTCATTTACCATTCCCTCGTATCATACCAGGTGTGAAGACAATTTGCAGTTGTCGCCTGTCAAAGGCAGTATGACTTTTCAGTATGGCTAACCTCCGTTCCCTTTGGAAGCGTTCGGAGCAGGATGGGATTCTGCTTAAATTTAAACAATGACAGTGACACAATAGTAACACATAATTGTTTGCAAAAACATGAACATAAAAAAATATTTCACATATATATCAGATAAATATTTTTATTTATTTTATTTATTTATTTAAAATAACACGTCTGTAAATTATAAAGAAACAAAGTGCACTTTAAAAAACTAATTATTACTCGATTATTTATTTGATTAAAAAAAATTCTGATACGTATTCAGGAGAACACGTACTATTACTGACTGATCCCCACTTAACGTTACACC